TAATGTTTCCAGAACTATATTGAACAAGAGTGGTGATAGTGGACATCCTTGTCTTGTTCCTGATTTGAGTGTGAAGGATTTCAGGTTTTGACCATTTAGTATGATATTGGCTGTTGGTTTTTCATAGATGGCTTCTATCAGTTTGAGGTAGAAACCATCTATTCCAATATTTTGTAGGGTTTTTATCATAAATGCATGTTCAGCAAAGAATCCATTTTTCATGTCTGTTTCAGCCTCTAAAGGCTACCTGCATTCCTTAGATCACGGCCCCATCTCTATAGTCAAAGATAGCAATGGCTGTCTGAGTCTTTCTCACATTGTATTACTCTGACATTGATTCTCCTGTCTTTCTCTTATAAGCAGCCTTATGATTAGATTGGGCCCACCTGGGATAATCTCTCCATCTCAAAATCATTCTCCTTTTCCATGAATATTCAGTTTCCAAAAATTAAAGGGACATCTTTAGGAGTCATTATTCCATTTACCACATCAGGCATCTTTTTAGGGGTGGGGGTAATACTGGGATTGAACCTAGGGCTTTGTGCATGCTAAACATGTTCTGTACCACTGATCCACACAGGCTCTACATGAACCACCTTATTTGGCATTAAGTTAAAATTGGATAGGTATGAATCATAAATTATTGTGGCTCCTGAAGCAAACAAAGCTTACACAACTATATACAAATGGAGAGGCCTCGAGGAAATTTTTTTAATATTTGAAAGTTGCCAATATCATGATAATCACTCCAAGTACTTTAACACATATTCTATTACACTATTTCCCTCAAGAAATTTAACAAAAATACATTAATAATTACTAATTTGAAGTCTATATTCAAATTCCTTTATTATCCCAAACATGTCCTTCACAACTGATCAAGCTGATCAATCATTGCATTTGATTATTATGTCATTTTAGTTTTTAACACAAGAAAATAGTTTTCTGTCTTGCCATTTTAAGAATACAATCCAGTCGTCTTGTATAAGGCCTCACAACTTGAATTGTCTGATGGTTTCCTCATGATCAAATGCAGGTTAATCATCTTAGTAGGAATAATACATTGGCGATGTGTTACTTCTTCCTGAGATTCCATTTTGGATGCTGAATGTAGAGATGATCAAGGTGACTCCATGGGGATATCATGGGCTCCCCGGGAATATCCTAACAGCTCCCTGGAAAAGCCCTATTTATAGGGATTATTTTTATGTGCCCTGATTCAGAGATCATTCAAAGAAGGCTGCCCCTAGTATGTTTGTTTCAAACACAATGGCAATTGTTAAACAACACAGCTGCCTGTTGTGATGAACCTGTTGGGGTGATGTCTCACTCTCTTTCCTCTTCTCTGGGAAAGAATACCTGACACCCACAACTTAAAGGAGGAGAGGTTTATTTTGCCTCACGTTTCAGTCCATACTCACCTGGCTCCAATGTAGGGTGGCATGGTAGGGGGCTATGGCAGGAAAAGGAAAATGGAAAAGCTCTTCATGTCATGGCAAGGGGGAAGCAGAGAGTCAAGGGATGAGTTGGGAAAGAAGATGTACCCTTCCAGGTCATGCCTGCAGTGACCTGCCTCTTCTAATTAGACCCCACTTCCTAACAGCAAGTCATCAATAATGCCCTCATAATCTGATCAACTTCCCCCAAAGCCCTGGTTATGAGTGCATGAGGCTCTTGGGGGACATCCAAACCTGAACTATAATAGCTGACAAAAGGCTGACCAAAAATGTAAAGGAAAATTTGGGGAATGTGATATCCATAGATGGCCTTTGCAAACTTCCAACACACTCCTAGGGATTTACAAGCTCATGCATATATGCAAAGCTAAGTGTACAACCCAGTAAAAGTGAGCAGAGGATCTGAACCCATACTTTGCCACAGAGGACATACAGACGACAAATAAACACATGAAAAGATGGCTCAGCATCATTACCCATTTGGGAAATGCAACTGAAATCCATAATGAGATCTTACTCTATACCTTTTAGAATGGCTAAACTTAAAAATACCAACAAGGTGCTGAAGAGGATACAGAACAACTGATGGAAAAGAAAAATGGTGCGGATGCTCTGGAAAATAGCTTGACAATTTATTATAAAATTAAGCATAGACTTTTCACAAAACTTCTCAATACCAGTACTAGTTAAGCTAAAGAAATTAAATCTGTGTTTGCACAAAAACCTGTATGTGAATGTTCATAGCAGTCTTATTCATAGTTGCTAAAACCTGGAAACAACCCCAATGTTCTTCAAGGGGTGAATGAATATACAAACCATTGTGCAGCCATATAATGGGAAACTACTCAGCAGTTAGTTTGAATGCATTATTGATATATAAAAAACTATAGATGAATCTCAAAGGTGTTTTGCTGAGTAAAATAAGCCAGTCTCAAAAAATTTCCCACAAATAAAGTAAACTATAGGAAGAGAACAAGCAGCAGTTGCCAGAGTCTAGGGATTGGGGAGAGTTTGACTATAAAGGGGCAATACCAGAGAATTTCAGAGGGTGATGGAACTGTGGTATATCCTGATTGTGGTAGTGATTACATTAGTCCATAAAGATCTTCAATGCCCTAGAAATGTGTGTTTCTATATGTGTTTATTATGATGGTAGCTACAAAGGTATATATACTTGCCAAAACACATAAAATGGATTAACTTTATTCTATGTAAATTATCTCAAATTTCAAATTTTCTTTTATAAAAGAAACCATCCTTACCCCATTACAACCTCTTAAAAATGACTATTGACCTTGAAAGTTTAGTATGTGGCTGCCTAAAACATAAGAATGTGTAGCATAAAGAGTTTTTCAGTTGCATAAATGAGGTCACTGTATGCACATATATTGTGGTTTATATTGCTTTTTTACTTAGAGGTCTTGGACAGATGCATATATATATATATTCTATATATATATATATTCTATATATAAAATGTTTGTGGTCTACTATATTTTAATAGTTACATTATTAGGTGCCATGTTCTAGATAACACATTTAATCAGCATCCCACTGTTGGATATTTAGGTTGTTGCCAGTTGCTTTGCTATTACTAGAAACGCTATCGTGAACAGCCTTGTTCATGTAACTTTTTGCAAGTATATTGATAAGACATAGTTCTAAATGTGGGATTACCAGGAAGGTATAATTTGAATTTACAGAGTATGTTTAATTTGATTTTATGTAGCTATTGACAGATTGTCCCTTATAGAAGCAAGTAGAAAGTTTATAAAGACACATGAGTATATTTTGCAGTTTCCCATTGGAAGACTGAACTTCTTTCTGTCTTTCATAGGATCATGCTGATATTGAGTGGAAATTTGCAAGGACGAAGCTCTGGATGAGTTACTTTGATGAAGGAGGCACCTTGCCACCTCCTTTCAACATCATCCCCAGCCCCAAATCATTTCTATATCTTGGTAACTGGTTCAACAATACCTTCTGCCCTAAAAGAGATCCTGATGGTAGGAGAAGACACAACTTGAGAAGCTTCACAGTAAGACTTTTAGAAACTATGTTTCCTTTTTAAACAAAATTATTTCTTCTTTCCTATCTTGAACATCATAAAAATCACCCAACTTACTTATGTTTGGGGAGTTTGTCAGGCAAGAGCACTTTTATCATTCTCTAGTCCTAACATTTAGAAATATATTTAGATGAGTGTGGGAGGGTAGGATTCTGGGATGTTGATGTAACTTCTCTTTCCATTTTCCATTACAGGAACGCCATGCTGACAGCCTCATACAAAATCAACATTATCAGGTAAAACTTCCACACAGGGACTAAGTACAATAGTTCTTCAGTAGTTCTATGGAGTAGAAGCAAACTCCACTCTCGCTATGTCTGGATTATATCTACCTAGTAATCCCCCATTTAGAACTATATCTTATCAATATACTAGCAAAAAGATACATAAACAGGGTTGTTCACTGTAGCATGGCTAGTAATAGCAGAACAACTAGCAACAACCTAAATATCCAACAGTGGAAAGCTGGTTAAATGACTTTTCATCTAGAAAATGGCATACAATATAATTACTAAAATACAGTATATCACACATGTTATATATATATATATATATATATATATAAAATATATATAAAACATCTCTTTACAGTAACCCTTGCAAATCACAAGTAAAAGATAACAATCTCTCACCTTCCTGATCAAAAGAAACTCACAGTAGAAAAATGTGCCAGGCTTAAAGGAAATTTAACTTTATTCTGCAGGTCACTCCCCTAACTTTGTTCCTCTTAGGCCATAACTAAAAAGAGAAACAGGAAATACAGAATTTGGTAGGTGACCCTACTTTCACTACTGCCCCCAACTCTTATTGCATACTTGCACATAATGAATCACAGGCAGGATTCACTGGCTTCATTCTCTACTTCATAGTTATCACAAAAAATTGGTAACTGGGCATCTCAATGACTTCTTTAAGTTCACAGAGTAACAGAAGTAATACATATAGCATTAGCTAGTATTACTATAGGCCTTGAAACCAGCTTGAAGTAGAATTGAATTCTAAATTCCTTTTGCCATTTGATTGATCTTTTATTATTTTATTTTTATTAGTCCATGTTTGCAGTACATAATGATTACATTCATTGCAGGGAATCAGTACATATACATTACACATCTTAATTCTTTTTTACCACTTTTCTTCCACCCCCTCTTTTTGCCAGCATCCGATTCATTTATCTATCTTATAAAGTTTTTATCTTATAAAGATTTTATCTATCTTATAAAGTCTATTATCTATCTTATAAAGTTAATTATCATACATATAGATTAATATCCCGACTGACAGGCCAAAAAATATAAAGCATATAAGACGATTATACTAAATCAAAGTATGCTTTTAGATACATTGTCCATGCTGGGTTACGATATTCATTTCAAATTTTACATTTACTTAGTTGTGTGATCTTGGAAAAGTCAATTAATATCACTATGCCTAAGCTTTCTAATCTATAAAATGAGGAAAATAAAACTTATTTTATGGTGTCATGAAAATTAGGTTGTGTGTGTTGCATGTCATAAGTGCTTATCACATTGCAGTAAATGATAATTATTATTATCACCATCACTAATACAAATCATATTGACATGTGTGAGCCATCTCCCTCCCCCACTAAGTAAAAAGAGGGTAGCCCTATAACGAAGTATAATTTGACTTCAAGGAAAATATCTTTACTACATAATTAGTAGCAGACTTGGTGATTCTCACCTTTAAAAAAATTCTCCATTTTACTAGCAATACTAAAGTTCAATCCAGACTGATGGGAAAAGATATTGACTATGACTATTCAAGGAGTATTCTATTCTCACTATTCTATAAATTTGAGTATATGTTCATTTACCTAATGCTTGGGTAGAAATCTTTCCTTTCTGGTAAATTTGATTGGCACACTCTGCCACCAAATTCAGAGATACAATAAGTCATTTAGCCAATGGAATATATATATATATATATATATATAAAACAGCAAATGGCTGTGTCCTGTGAAGATTTTCCTTGCAAAGATGGTCTAAGAATATTTTATTACCTGTGTAGGTTTCTTATTTCACTGAGAGCCTGAGAAGGAAACTGAACGCCTCTTCCTATTTTTTTAATTCCAGGAAGTTATCAGGAATTTAGTCAAAAGATATGTGGCTGCTATGATAAGAAATTCCAAAACAAATGAGGGGCTAACAGAAGAAAATTTTAAGGTAATTTAACCAGTTGAACTTCTCATTTCTTCATTTCTCTTCCTCTTCCTTTATCCCTTCCCCAAACCCCCTCCTTCTCTTCCTCCTTCTTATTCTGTTGTTGTTGATACTGTTGTTGTTCTGGGGATTGCTTTTGCACTGAAGTATATAACCAGCCATTTTTATTTTGAGATAGGGTCTCAAATTGCTAAATTGTACAGGCTGGGCTGGAACCTGTGATCTTCTTGCCTCAGCCTCCTAGAGTGCTGGGATTACAGGTGTGTCCCACCATGCCTGCTTAATTGTTCATTTCTTCAGTATCATTTATGATTCACACAGTGTTTGAGATCTAGTGATGGAATTTTATCTGCCTATAATATAGCAAAACCAGCTACAATTCTTACTCTCTTTTAGAAGTACATGCCATCCAGTTGATGGAGAGATTTTACCAATTTCTGTCATACCACAATAAGTTTTATGAACAAAAGAATTCCGTTCTCTGCATTCTTTTAACAGTCTGGGTATTTCTCAGTATGGGAAATCCTATGCTGTAAATGATATGGCAAGGATGCACAGTGAGGAATAAGAGAGTAAACAGAAAATGCCTGGAGACTTAAATGCTTTCTTTGCCTAAAAAAATCTAAAATAAAGATCAAAAGTTTATTATAAAATATAATGTCTCAAGAAATTCTACTATTAAACATTTAAAATGTCCTACTATTAATCCTAGTCTAAAACAGTGATTCTGAACCAGGGGCGATTTCATCCTCCAGTACACATTTGGCAACCTGGAGATATTTTTCATCTCATACTGACATCTAGTGGGTAGAGACAAGGTTACTACTAAATACCCCACAATGAACAAGGTTGTCTCCCACAACAAAGAATCATGCAGCCCAACATGTCAACAGTACCAAGGCTGAGAAACCCAGCCTAGAATATACATGCTCCTTTTTTTCTAAGGCCCATAGGAAAGCTGCTATTCTAATCCACAGACATAACTCATCTGTTGAGGGCCTATGTGCCAAGCACACTAACTACTAAGTGCTAGGGTATAGTAGTGAGCAAGATCTAACCAGCCCTTATTCTTGTGGAATGACAAGGGATAATAATATAGGGTAATAAATTATTCAATAGGCTGATAGTGTAAACATAAGGTACTACTGACATACGAAGAGGAACAGTCACCTGGGACTTGGGAAGTTAGGATGGGCTTCCAGATAGAGTGATGTTTAAACTGATAAAGGAGCCAGATAAAGGAGAAGTTGGGAAGAGAAGTGTTCAGGCAGAGGCAAAGGCCCAGAGGCAAGAGAGATATATCCATATGGATGGAGAGGGACAGTAGGAAAAGAGAAGGAAGAAAGGAAACTGGAGAGACTCACAGTTAACAGGTCTTGAAAAACTCTGTACTCCATGATATAACATCTCTACTTTTTTCTAAGGGCATTGACAAGTTACTAATGTGTTTTAAGCCAGGGGATTACATGATCATATTTAAGCTTAAAAAGAAACAGTTTGTAAAGGAACAATCTAGTATCTAAGCAGCCAGTTAGAAGACATTGCACAGGAACTTGAAAGAACAGGGTCCACTTTTTGAAAACAGCAATCTCATAATCTGACATTTCACTTTTCTAGTTTCATTCCTTGGAGTCCTACAAGCTTTTTCTAAAAGTTATTCTTTTATATATGGATAGCTGTGAGAGCCAGTACCCAAATCTAATACATTGTGAGTTAATGCTTTATTAGGGATCAGTCTATTGATGTACCCCAGATGAGGAGGCTCTGAAATCAACTTTACCCATTGTATGATTTTTCAAGTGGCCACAGAATTACTAATATGTTTTTCTTGTGCTTGAGTAATGGGAGATGCTTCTGGTATTATGTGTGGTATTATGTTTCTGGTATTGTGGTTTGCTACTACCAGGCAGACACTAGAGCATTCTAAAGAGTATCCAATGTGCCTACTTTAAACTAAAGATCAAGCTCAATGGAACAACGTGTCTTCTCTCTTTCCCTAGGAATTAAAGCAGGACATCTCCAGCTTTCGATATGAAGTGCTTGACCTCTTAGGAAATAGAAAACACCCAAGGAGAAGCTTCTCCACTAGCAGCACTGAACTCTCTCAGAAGGATGATACCAATGGTGGCAGTGGTAGAGCTCGAGGCAAATCCAAGAGTGTCTCCTTCAATTTAGGCTGCAAGAAAAAGACCTGCCACGGGCCACCACTCATCAGAACCATGCCAGGAGCCAGTGGTACCCAAGGGAAGTCAAAAGCTGAGTCATCAAGCAAACGCTCATTCATGGGTCCTTCCCTCAAGAAACTGGGTCTCCTATTCTCCAAGTTTAATGGTAATACATCTGAACCCAGTTCAGAGCCAGTGTACACAATTTCTGAAGGAATCATTCAGCAGCACTATATGTGGCAGGACATCAGGTATTCTCAGATGGAGAAAGGGAAAGCAGAGGCCTGTTCTCAAAGTGAAATTAACCTCAGTGAGGTAGAATTAGATGAAATCCGGGGCGCTGCTCAGAGCAGTGAATGCCCTCTAGCCTGTTCCAGCTCTCTTCATTGTGTATCCAGCATTTGTTCCTCAAATTCTAAACTTTTAGACTCCTCAGAGGATGTATTTGAAACTTGGGGAGAGGCTTGTGACTTGCTCATGCACAAATGGGGTGATGGACAGGAAGAAGAAGTTACAACTCGGCTTTAAGTCAAGTCCCTAACACCTGTCCTGGAACTCAACAAAAAATTTGTAATTTCCTTGCTCTCAGAGGTGACATATAATATGATTCCCTCACTGCTCCCCTAGGAAAGTGAAATTCCTATTATTTTCACAGTCTTTTATAGCTACATTCTACATTTTTGTTATATTATTATTATTTGCCTTTTTATAACCATAAACACTAAGTCCATCTCACAATAACTAAAGGGGTATTGCCCCTAATCAGCAGAGGTGCAGTTGGGTGCTTAACCCTTTTGCTTTGCTTTGCTTACCTTTGCTTCCCTGAAGCTCCAGGTGCCACTTTGCTACTGTTTCTGCCACACAGATTCCTGACCTCCCTCAGGATCTCATGCCATCTCCCCACAGGGCTGAGGGATGTAGTCAGCAGTCCCCACCAGCTATCAGATAAGGCAAACCAACCTGCCTATCTCTGTTGCCCTTCAGTGCTACACGCTGCCCATGCTGGTTCAATGAACAGCGTTAAAGGGAGGCTGATCAGACTCCAGAAAATTGTCAGCTTGTGATTTCTAGATATAACTGGCCTTTTTATTTTGTTTTAAAACAATACAACTTATTATTATGGAGGCTGTTGAGTATTTTTGTTTCTTAAAGATGTGTTTCTTAATGTGTGCCAATGAGATATTTACCCTGTAGTATATGTCATATTTAACAAGCTGGGTGAATTCCTTTCCTATTTGTGTATTTTAGTTAACTTACTATATTTTAAATTAGATAGTACTGAAATTAGTATTTAGGATGTGTACTGTTTTTTAAAATTTTTACTGCACTCTAACATCTCATACATTAGCAAGTAAAAATAATTAGCTGGCATATTTATAGAGTCCTATCTACTGTTGATAGTTTTAATCATCATTGCTATTGAAGCATTTCTAAGATGAAAGACTGGATTTGAAATATTTTACCAGAAGAATGACATCTTGCTGAGGTATTGAAATCTGAGAAAAAAAGAATCATCACTTTAATTGATTTCTGGAAAAATCACAATTTTAGGTCTAGATAATTTAATTCAGGTTGCAGTTTCAATATTCGTTGGGGTAAGCAGAATTGCATGTGTAAACTTATGTTAGATATGTAACATAGCAACCTTAGTGGACTCATGAAACTATGTGATCCAAATTCTACCGTCTTCAAAGAAATCTGCATTTATACATCCAAACAATTTCCCACAGCTTCATTGGAATACAAAGGTTCAAGTTAAAAATGAAGTCACAATGCATATGGTCATCATTTTAGACCTAATAGTCACTGAACAAAAATCTCCTAACAGTGGTTTTTACCAATATTAGCACAAGTTTCACCAATTTAGACTCTAACATGAGCTGAAGCACCCCCTAATTCTGGCTTATGAAGGTTAAATTAGGAATGTGTAGCCCAGAAAACAAGGCGCCACCCTGTTCTTTGAATTGTCAACATCAATGGGAATCCATCTAAATAAGTGAAATGAGGGGTTTTCAAACAATATGAATATGTCTTCAACTAGTTTTTGACAGGGTAGTTTCTATTATTTGAATTGATTCCCACCTTTGTTACTGGTGTTGGTGACTGATGGTTGAAGTATTTCACCTGGAGAAGAGTTAAATTGGGTGTGTGGGGGGGTGCTGGAGGACGTATTGAAGAAAAAAACCTCAAATCCAGGGAAAAGTAAAGAGAACGAGCTGCATTAAGACCCATTTGGCAAGCAGTTATCTTGTAATAATTCCTTGATCATCTCTGAAGTGCTCATTTATTCTCCCCTGCTTCACTAGGTAGGACTATCCTAAGGCTCTGACATTAAAACAGGTTACTTTCCAGAAGGAAGAATTCTAAGTTACAGATTTAACTCCCAATTGTCAGATACATTTTGAAAAATATCAGAACCTAGGCTACATTCCTAACTTGTATCACTGGCACCAAAAGACTCCCAAAATATAACCTTCTTTCATGGAAAGAAAAACGTTTCTTTCTACAAATGTATGTATTTCTGATAATAAGTATAACTGGTCTAGTAGCTATTTTATCAATTTATCAGAAAGCGTGGTAGATACGTATCATGTTTGAAAACAGTCTTCTCTCAGTTATGTTCTAAAGAGAAAATGTAAATCACAGAAGCCAACCTCTCCTATGGAAAGAAACCAGTGTCATATTTCCTAAGAGTATATTCCTTTTTTGTTCTTAGGGTTATCTTTGTAACTTCAGCTTAGGACTTCTCTAGTTATACTGAGGGCTCATTTAGAACGGGGATTAAGGGCCTGGGATTTAGTTTAGTGGCACAGTACCTGCCTGGCAAGTATGAGGTCCTGAGTTTGATTCCTGGTAGCAGAAAAAAAAAAAAGAAAGAATAGGGGTTAAAGCTAAAGAGTTATTGCCCTAACTTCCATTTTAGTGATACCAACATTTTTTAAAACTCTTAACTCTGCAGAAAGCAGGAAGACAAAGAGATTTTGTGTTCACTTCTCTTTCTGATCAGCTATTACAAAAAAAACCCCACATATTTGGGCGCTAGGGATATAGCTCAGTGGTAGAGCACTTGCCTAGCATGTGTGAGCCCTGGGTTTCCTGCCCAGCACTGCAAAAAGAAAAAAATAAGGTATTTTAAATAAAAATACTTAAGTATGTCCTCTGACCGAGAGAAAGTATAAGTCAACTTGAGAGTAAATTTATAAACATGAAGAGTTAGAGCTAAAATAAAACCTTGATTCCAACCTCATATATTACAAATAGAAAAAAAGTGTGTGTGCATGGGGAGGGGTGTCCAGAGACAGGATAACAACTTATTCAAGGTCAGAATTAAGTCAATAAACCAAATTTTCTAGATCACAGAAACAAGATATTGTTAAGCATATATGTTTTATAGGAGATGTATAAATTAAATGGCCATTACAGGCACCCACTTTTTTCCCTTTTATTTTCACTTGTTGCATTGGGGATTGAACCCAGGCCCTCAAATGTTAAGCAAGTGTTTTTTTCATGGAACTACATCCCCACCCCCATTTTTTCCATTTACCTGAAATGTTGTGAACTCCAAAAATTTCATACTGACATATCGAAATGTGAAATAAAAATGTACTGCAAAGTAAAAAAATAATTATAATTTCAAGAATCATTTACAAATTCTCTAAAATAACATATCATGGTTTACCTCCATTACAGTTAACTTTCGTGTAACACCATGAATTCGTTTATTTGACCTCACAATTAAAATCTTCTTGAAAATTAGGATAAATACATCACAAATAAAATGTCCAAATTAGAAAGTGACCATTGTTGAAGTAGCTCCTCCACTTTTAGGTTTAAGTCCAGTGAAGTTAAAAGACAGAAGATTCTAAATTCAAACTCATTGGTTTTGGAAGATGCCAAAATTTACAGGGATACAGATGTTCCAAGTCAGACATCTACTTACATGGGAATATGGAAAAATTACCATTTCTTTCTACCTCTCATGTAATTTCACTAACTTAGTCTACTTCAGCTAAGTCCCACACATCTAAACATTTACCTTATGCAATTTGATTAAAAGACTTTTAAAAAAATTAGAGCCTCCACCTTTTGAATGATTTAATAAAAATACCCTCTTCAAAAAGAACTTTGTAATTATTATAGCAATGCAAACCTCCTCTGAACATCTCAATGGGGATTTTTTTAGAACAATACAATATGATACCTTAGCCAGAAAATAGAAAAATAACCATTTGGCCTTCATGTTGCTTTGTAAACAATACTCGAGTGGTTTTTTTGTACTTCGTTTTAGTGACCTAGACCTTGTTTTGTTAAATCATCAAGTAAAAAGTACTTAGTTGGGCAGAATTTCCTATTTAACACTATGTAAGAAAAATGGAGCATATTATTTTGGTAATCAAGTCATCAAAATATGGTAATAAACAGATTACTTGTTTAGACTAGTCAGTGTACATTGATGTAATTTTTCAGAACATTTAAATAATCTCTTTATACCTACTTCACAGACCCCCTTTCCCCCAACCCCTGCAGGTTTGCCTCAAAAATATGGGCATTTTAGATTCTTTGGTTTAATTGCTCCAAATACCCACTTTGTTGGTACAGAACTAGCCACTGGGAAATGACTACATAAATTTGAGTCTCACTTTAGTACAGAGAAATACTGTTTTGACTGTATTGCCAATGACCGTTTTTTCCAACAGATACGGGTTTTGGCTTGCTTTGCTTTTAGGGAAATGTCTGTAAAAGTGAAAAATTTGTATATGTACTTGTACACACACACACACACACACTGAAACTCATTAGGATTTGATTAATCTGACCTTGGCCTTTCATCCCTTTTGGTAATTACTAGATCATGTTTAAGGGAGAGGAAGCAGAAATAACGTTTCAATAGAGATACTTTCTGAGATGTGTTAAGGAACTGCTACAATGAACTGGCTTAACAGCAATGCTCTGTAAGACAACAGTTAAGTTGAGAACTATTAGGATTTGGAATTTCTACATTTAAGGAATACAGCATTTAAGTCAGAAAGAAAGAATGTACCTGCAAAATATATACATATTTGGCAAAATAGTCAGCATACTTCAGATTTACTGCGTGAGATATTAATATTCATATTGCAATGCTGATATGAGGTCTAGAATTTTCCTCAATAAAAGTTTGGTGGTTCAGAGAAGGTGCTAGTAAATGATTTTGATAAACATATATATTTATTACAAAATTAAGTCAACCGCCCTTGTGCCAAAAGCTATTTATCTGATGTGAAAAGTTGTAAAAGCTCTGTAGACATGTCCTATTACTACACAAATGAATAACAATTTCTGTAGTAAGATAAAGAGCCCACTATTTTTGATCGTTGTAATCAACTTCCATATGTCTCCCTCCACCTCCGAAGAAGCCTGTATAACTCCACATAACTTTATAGAGCCAAAAAAGATTAACTGACGGTGGTTAAAACTGCCTAGAGTGAAGGCCATTTTCACTAATCGACAGCATATCTTGCCCTTTTTTAGTGAGTTTCACTTGCAACAATCTAACATCTCAACAGCTGTACCTGAACACATGTAGGCATGCATGCATGCATGCATCCCCTTAAGGCATTGTCCTGAGTGGTATTTCAATGAATAGATGGCAATATGCCTTTTATTTAACCTTAAAGTAGCCAAACACTTGCATTACTGTTAAACTAGTCTTGGTCATATGGCAT